TGCTGAAAATTTCTTTCCCGAACTGCATGCGGATTTTCATGCGATCAAATATGTTGATTATGAAAATTTACCACTCCACGTCCAGTGAAGCATGACTCATCGGTCCATAAAACGTTACTTAAAAGCTCCATATTATTATCAGTTCTATCAAGAATCCACTGACAAAATGTGATTCTTCGTTCTTCGTCCCCTGGCTGTAGTCCTTGCACAGGTTGCAAATGGTAAGGACGTCTATGGTCATTTCTAAGAACACGGTGAACATGGCTTGCTGAAATTCCCAAGGCACCAGAAACTCTCCTAACACTTGTGGTCGGATCTCTATCTCTCACGCAGAATCATACGGGTAAATCTGCGCTGACGAACATTTATGTTTTGATCCCTTTGGAGATTTCCAAAACCATTTTCAATTATTTGGCGATGCACTCTTACAAATACTGAGCGAGTTGGATGTCGTCTGTTTGGAAATCTTCGTCCGTATTCTCTGGCTGCTTCTGCTGCGTTTCCATTTACAAAGCCATACACAAAATGACTATCCGCTAACTCTTGATTGGAGAATAAAAATGGCATTTTTATAAAACTTACAAAAAAAAAACAGGTAAAAGAAACTAAATTGTGTGGATTCACAATTGCAAAAAAACGTTTCAGGTTGCAACAGACAATGCTTTCAATTTCAAAAATATTTGCAGGCACAGCCTACTTCTAAAAATTATCGAGATACTGACCTTTTAACATTATTTTATCATAAATAATTAAAAATGCATCGAACCTTAAACATCGAAATATCTCAAAAACGGCTATTTATAACGAAAACTCACAGGAGAGCTTTTTTATGTTGAAAAGTGCGAAGAATCAGTTTTTTATTCAAAAAGCAAAAAATTGCACTAAGAAAAAATTTTCGGTCATTTTAATACACTACAGGTACAGTAGAGAGCGCCCTCTAGCGGCTACAGTAAAACTATGCCCATGGTTCGTTTTTTCGTACCAAAAAATCCTTGTATACCAATTTTCACTGTTATACATCAAATATTGTTCGAAACATTAAAAAAAACTATTTTAGAAAGTAAATTTAAACACCCTGTATTTTGGAAGCCACGCATTTTTCGACCCATGTTTATATAGACTTTATGCATTCATTTTAACAGTTCTATCGAATCTTAAAGTTAGGCAACAATAAACTGAAACACCCTGTATACAAATGTCGACACAAAAAATTGCTTACCGTGTAGACGCAAGCGACACTACTGTTGACATTTCTGTCGAGTGTCAGTGTCGTCGTGTATACTTAACATACGGGTGATCAGAGAATGACCGCAGCTCGGCGACTGAACGGATGTAGAGAGGCGTCAGGCTAGAACAGGGTGGAATTCTAAACTTTGAGTGACCGATTTACACATTCTAAATAGTACACATTTTATTCGGATAACATGTATACTTGTAATAAAACAATAAAACCAGTCAAAATTAACAAACATACTTGGAGTATGGAACGCTCATGAATATTGCCATAATTAAACCGAAAGGAAGAATGAAAACTGATTCCGGTCCTGATATAAGATGACACCTCAACGCTTCCACGCTACAAGGCCCAATCGACTCCACGCGGCCCGATAGATTGGCGTAGACTAGTAGTGCTTGGAACTTATTTCGTTGAGAGTCTAGTTACCGCGTAATATTTATTGTTAGAAGAATTGTTGTTTGGTTATTTCTGATGTTATTGTTCGGGCACTGGAAGCCCGGGAACAAGTAGAAAGCTTCGTAAGGCATTGAAAAAGGACCCGAAAGAAATCGTGCTCAACGTGTTTAATTATTTGAAGAAGACTATGTCGCAGAGAGATGCACGTACGCGTTGCGAAAGCATGACAGGCGTTCCAGAGTGGACTGTTCGCAGGGTGGCGCATGAACAGAAGAAAACTGGAGCTACTGCTGATCCAAAGTTCTACTTGAAGGGACGAAATGCCATCAAACTAAATGGCGACAGCAAAATTTCGTTAAGACAAACCGTCATTCATTTCGTAGGAATGAGATACCAACCCTTAAGGCTATACATGCAAAGATCAAGAGTAATGACATTATACCCCCAGTGAGCGTCGAAGTATTAAGAAAAACCCTGAACGAACTGAATTTTTGTTACGAAACGCGTAATCGGAATCGAAATAGAGAAACCTGAAATAGCCGCGTAACGTCGAAAATATGGGGTTAAGCGGCTAAACTTCGCCCCCTAAATAAAGACGATTTATTATTATTATGATTAAAATACCTACGCGCAATAACTGAGTATAGACCTCAGAGCAGAAAAATATATTATTTGGACGAGACGTGGGTAAATGCAGGTCACACAGTTAAAAAACAAAAATGTACTAATTAACCGACAAGCAAGCATTGAAGGTTTGTCAACAGGTCTTCGTGCATCGTCAGGGAAAGGTCAAATATTGATCGTTACACATATTGGCAGCGATAGTGGCTTTTTAAAAGAATACAACTTGACTTTCGTCTCTAATGGCTCGTTTACACGGGGACAGTTAAATAAATATTAACTAAATTTTAAGTAACTTGAATCTGTTTAAACAGAGCTATGTTGTAAGTAACAAGTTATGGAGCAAGTAAAAATTTAAGTACACGTTGACGTATTGTACTGCTCACTTGATTCGTCTAAACAAGTTCGTGCGCGAAATTTAGTAAACAAGTGCATACGTTCGTTGAGTTTATAGTTCAAGTATACCTACTGACTACTACTTTTTAAAATGAAATCGAAGTAGACAGAAGATACCACAGTAAAGTTTGTTTCGGAGTTTGTAAAACATGAGTGCATCTGGAATATTAAACATTTAAAATACTGGAATAAGCAAGCTCGTAGTGCAGCTATTCTAGCTATGAAAACACACACGAATATATCGAATTTCAATGAAAAGGAAATATTATTGACAATAAAAGACTTGAGGCCCAGACAAGGTTATCTTCATATATTTCTTCTAATATAATATTCAGAATATCGCGTAATATGCCATTAAATTCTTCTACAAAGTGCTGCGGCACGCTCATCTTGTCAGGTATGGTGATGAACACTGCACCAGAACTTACGAGTAACTGAACTTAGAACCTAACCACTGCGAACAGCACTTGTGCAAAACACCGGTAGCTTAACATTTAGTTACCACTCACCTATTGTCCCTGTGTAAATGAGCCATACGAAAGGAGCTGCTTCGAGAGCTGGTTTCAAGGGGTGTTTCAGCGAGTTGAACCCAGCTCTGTAATCGTCATGAATAATGCCCATAGTCGTCGAGCCGGACGTGTACCAAATATGAGGTCTCGAAAACGTGAGGTGCAACAATGGTTACGCGAAAAGGGCATTCCGTTTGACGATTCACGTGTGAAAGCAGAACTGTAACTGTTATATTGCGCGCCATAACACAACTTTCAAGTTACCAGACGTCAAGGCTTTGCTAGAGAATTCCATACAGCTAGTATAACGGCTGAAGCGTGGCAGAATGTTGTGAAGGAAGAAACAAAAATGTGGCAGCTTGACCACATCGATGCCATCATGGAACCAGTTATAGTCAATCTTGGTGAAGAAAGCGATAGCTTATAACTTTTAGATGGAAGTGGAAGCGACGACGAATGAAGACAGGTAGACTTAATTAGCTCAAGGATAATCAGAAAAAAAATTGACAAAGGCAATTTCCAAATGTCTGATCTATAACGTCTTTCAAACCATTTTCTTTTTTATTAAACATATAAAAGAAATTAAGTTCACGAACATTAAAAATTCATACCCCGCCACTGACTACACGACTACCGGTGGTTGAGTGATGTTCACCTGAACATCGATGAGTCATTACAGTTTTAGATGGTTATGGGCACAGACGAAAAAAGGCTGTTGTAATTTTCTTTTTGTCATGGTAAGGATTATATAGGCAAGGTGAATTATTGGTTTTTGAAATATGTCCTCACAGCTTCAGCTTTTCTTCTACTAGTAAGAGGCACAATTAAAGTTTCGATGCACAATTTTTAACCAAATTAAAACCATCAATTTAACTGGAATATAATGTATAATCCTTACAATGATAAAAAATGCGACGGATTTAACCCTGGGGATATTTAAGGTTGCAACAAGTGGTACTTTGGTGAAATGAGACCCCAACGGCGGGTACATCTAGCGGTACTAGTCATTGTATAAAAATTTTCAAAATTTGTATGATCAGCATTTTCTAAATTTTTTAAAACAACTAATATTTTCAGGCTTTGTTATGTTTTTAAGATTCTGAAAATTTGGAAAACTGAAAATTCGAGCAAATCGTAAAATTTTCGAAAATCTGTAATCACAACTGTTAGAGCCTACTGTAAAATGGAAATTTTGAATCATCCCTTAATCGTTCCTCAAGGAGGCGTTATTGTTTGTATACAAGGAAATATTTTCTCAGACGGCACTTAATCCACAACGAACGTCTATGAATGTGACGCTTCGTCTCTTTGATATGGTAATTATAGTATAGATCAGGGCTGTCCAACTTAATGTGGCCCAAGGGCCGCATAAAATCTTTCTATTCAACATTATTACTGAGTTTTAATAGGTATATACTATACTATATGGTATACATATATGTACACATGACCCGTGAAGCGGGCCGCATGCGGCCCGCGGGCTGTATGTTGGACAGCCCTGGTATAGATACATTAATGATCTTTGAACTACATTGCATACAGAAAGGTTCATAGTAGTCTTCACAATCACAAAAGTTAATTGTTTCAATTTCGAAATGGTGAATGGTTTGATTCTATTAGCAATAATTACATGGCTACATCCAACTCGCATTTTTGCTATCCTGATAATAAATTACCCAAGGAATTGGAAATCCGGCAAGGTATGTTGTACAACCGGTTTGGTCGATTAGGAAACAGACACTAATTACTCCAAACTGATCGTCTCAAATGTAATTGATTGAATACATTCTAATTTGGGAAGTACTTGGGTGAGGGGGGGTTACACAACAAAATGAAACAAGTTAAGAGTATTATATTTATTGTGGTAAACCTACCAAATACCTATGCAATAGCAAATAAAAACAAATTAACGTTATACACTTAAAAAATTAATCGTGTTAAAGCATATACATAGGAATTTCTGTGGGCAACATGTTAAACATGATCTGAAACCTCCTAACAGGATATTTGACATTAAAAAAATAATATGATTGATAGTAAAAACGATGGTTTTCCAAAGCAGGTACTTTCATTGTTTTGATTTCTTTTGATCTCATAATCATGGTTAATATAACTTGATTGATCAATGAGATTTGATGATTTGATATAAATGCAACATGCAAAATATGTAGCATACTTTTTTTGACAATGAATTGTAAAAAACTTCGAACAACAAAACAATGAAAGCTAAATCTGTGAATAAGATTCCTGAAAATCCCTATTAGGAGATGTAAAATGCAAATGATATATAATGCGTCAGAAGCATCTTTACTACATAACATATAAAATCAACAACTTTATAAGTACATAACCAGTAAGTATGATTGTTATTGCAAAAATAGTAAAAAATAAAGGGAGTGTTTTTAAATACAGAAACGCTTTTTACTGCGAAAAAATAATACGAGAGAACAAAGGAGACTATTGATAAAACTAAGATACAATATTAATAAATAATGTTTAACAGCTTAGAGTAGGCCAAAAATGATAATTCGACAAATTCTAATGCAACTTCATATCTTCTATGGAAATCGATTTTTAATAAAATATAAGAACGAAAACGTTTGTCATAAAATTGAGGTGCATATTTTAGCACCTGTATAAATAAAACAAAGAAAAAGCCATTTAACAAATTGGAATGCTTCACAACTCATTCCGTCTGATTTTTCACATTTTAATAAAACATAAACTAAATAAATAAAAAATAAATACCGATTTCCAAAGTTATTGGTTCGAATCCCACCAATTTGCGATTACCATGTCCTAAAGATGGTGTTGCACATCATAAACCTGGTATACAAAGTGAGTTGCAACATCTTAAGGTGAAGTAACGACACTGCTCTCATGTCAAAAGCTATGTACTCTAATACACAGCACTGTTGGCACAGATCATGCGCATATTACAACCTATTTAGTATCGTACAGTAGACTCCCGATTTTCCAATGGCCGGATTAACCGAATGATTCCTACATACATACTGCAAAAAAGTAATAAGCTTAATCTGCATTAACCGAAACAGCCGCCGTATTATTCGAGTTTCACGTGTAAATAGCATGTTCTTTACGGGGAATCACCGAATTGTCGCATCATCAGAAGTCGACGATCGGGGATTTAGTTCGCTGTCATTTGGTGCTGAACGGGGCATACGGGCGTGTGTGCATTGTTACGACATTTCAATAATAAGTCCTAGATAAAGGATGGGAAAAAGTAAAAAGTTGTAACAGTTAAAAGTCATCAAAAGGCTGGTGAATCAGTGGCAGCAATAGCAAGGGAATATGGGGTAGGCAAATTGCGGATTGGAGAAGAAATCCGAAGAATACTGAAGATATTGAAAATTAATCGAATACTGTTTACATGGTTTACGCAACAAAGAGCAAAAGGTGTTCCTATTGCTGGACCAATTTTACAACAAAAAGCCGTCATGATAACCAGGGAATTTCCAGACCATTTTATGGCCAGTGATGGTTGGCCTACTCGATGGAAGAAGAGATATGGTGTGCGACAGTTAGCTGTATCTGGTTAAAAGTTTGTAGCAGATAAAAATGCTGACGCAATTTTTTAGTAAACATTTAAAATTCTAATAAAAGGTTATACATTGGTCCAAGTCTATAATTGTGGTGAAAACTGGTCTTAACTTTAAGTTGCTTCCATCAAAGTTCACTAGCATCAAAACAGGGAACGGCAGCTTCAGGTCTTAAACCGAGTAAAAAGAGGATTACTCTAATAGCCTGTGCGAATGCGTCAGGTACACACACACAACCTATCCAAGAGCCTTAAAAAATATTTCTCCAAATGCACTTCCAGTTTATCAAAAAGTGCTTGGATGGATGCGAAGTTGTTTACTGTTTGGTTTAAAGAGCAGTTTGTTCCACTGACGAAAATTTTGAAGAATCGCAAACTCCCAATAAAGGCTCTTTTGCTTATGGATGCCCCATCACATCCCGGAGATCTTCGTGTAGGTAAATTTACTGTTAAATTTTTGCCGCCAAACGTCACCAGCCTTGTACAATCCATGGATCAAGGTGTTCTTGAAAACCTGAAGAAGAATTATATACGGTTGTTTCTTGGACATGTGTTGCAATTAACAGAAACTGACGACCTTGCCACATCTCTGCGCAGATTAAATTAAAAGATGTCTACTGGGTCAGTCAAGCACGAGAATCGGCTGGCTTTAACATTAAAAGTCGCCGACCACGAGCAAGAGTTTTCTTTAGAGGAAATAACTGCCTCTGATCAGACCATAGAAGTAAAACAGCTTAAAAAAAATAGGAAGGTATAGAGGTTATTATAGTCGATAGTACTTCAAATCACGATGGCTTTACTGCTTTAGACAAAGCCTTACAGTATGTAGAACAGCAACCCGAGTCCACCGCATCAGACTTTTACTTTTAAGAAGACTGAGTAATAACGCAGCAAGAAAGAGAAACTCAAAGAAGAAGCAATCTCGTATTGACAGTTATTTTAAGGCATATTAATATTTTTACTTATATATGCTACATACATTTCCAAGTTCTTTTTGTCGAATTTTCTATAATAAATAGAAATATGTGACTCTACTTTATTTACAATAAAATAATTGAGAACAGTCATGTATTTGTCCATTTAAAAAAAAATATATAATAAAGTCGGATTATCCGAACCGCCAATTATCCGAGAGGGGGTCCAGGCCATGTCGGCTCGGATAATCGGGAGTCAACTGTACCTTTCTCGAACTTCGTCAGGAAAAATAGTGTAGTCTGCACCTTAAAGGTAAAATAGTCTGACATTCCACGATATTTAATATGTCCCACACGGTAATCACAAAAATAAGTGAATTTACATGTTTCACACATTTCAGCATCCTGCATACTTGGGATGGTATAACATTTTGAAAGTAATGCTTGGAGTTGAAATAAATGTATGAACTTTCACCAAAAAAATGTTTGGCCTACTTAGTACATCAAATTATAGGACCATAACTAAGGAATCAAAGTCATACGATAAAATAATGTCATGAAATTGTACAGATTAAGAGATCAATTTTTTAAAGGGTGAATCTATAACAAAACCTTTTTTAAAAACAGAAAATCTGAAAATTATTAGACATTTCTCTCGAGCAAAATGGAACTTTGGATAGACAAACTACCCTTCCAGGGAAATATTAATACATACTTTATATTGCACATGAATTATTATAGATCCACTCTCAATTAAGCTTCATTTTAATACTAAAAGTTTTTGAACTTATTTTCTGGTCCTAAGAATATCTTTTCGACTGCGCCTCCAGAAGTATGCGTGCATAAATAATGCAAAAAAAAATATTACAATAAAATATAAAAATTGTAACATCAGATTATAATGTAATTATAAAAAGTATCAACAAAAAACATATGTATATACTTTTGTGCTTAAAACTGCCACTATATTTCATTTTAGTTTTTTATCTCATTGCAAGAACTATTTTTGTTCCCCAATATATATACACACATCTTGTGTGAATGTTACCAATGCTACAGCTATTCAGACATCTAAAAAACACAGTCAGGAGTAAAATATAAAACTAGTTAACAGAAACCATCAACAAGATGACCCTAAAGGTCTTACCTTTCTCTCAAAAAACGGTTAATATCCACAACCTTTATGCTGTTTTAGATTGTCTGAATCATACTGTTGGTAACATGATCATAAGTTTTTGAAAATAAAAATATATCATTTACATGAGTTGTTCAAAGCTCAGTATGTTAAAAAATTCTAATACCAGTAAAATTAATGGTTGAACAAAATGTCGTGGTATTAATGATAATAATCCCGAATATCAACAAAACATTTACATTCTGTAGAGTGATCAACATCTAACGCTAATAATGTCCACTAACTTTGAACAGCTTATATATTTCTTAAAATACTGACCAACATTGTAAAATGGATTTGTTAGTCTAGCTAATTTCATAAAACAGTTTCATCACATTATAAATTATTGCACACGAGAAATAGTTTTTTTTTCAGTTTTCTTTTCGCACTGTTTCTAACTAAATGTCGGTACTTCTTTGAAGATCGGATAAATCGCAATTAAATTGCAGAGCGGAAGCATTATTTTGTCGACTGCAAATCAAAACCGATATCATCCTAATTATTTCAAAAAAATGCAGTTACAATTCTGCTCATAAAATTGTTGAACTATTATTTGTGTTAATATTCAAAGCAGGTAAAAATAACAAGTAACACATTAAATCTCGTGACATCTATTTTTTGCATTATTACTGTGGACAACTGACAATTCAGCAACTAAAGAAAAAAAAAACACTATTTTTAGAAAAATGGCCTAAAGCGACCAATAATCGCTACGATATGCCAAAAAAGTACCAACAAAATATAAAGAACGTCAATTTTGAAGGCACCATATAAATATTCTAATAATTTTACCTTTAAATTTTTCAGAACAGTTTCAAAGAGGGTCAGTCAGTACTTTAACAGTACATACAAATACAAACATAAAAAGAAATTCAAAAATCATTTTGAAATTTATTTGAGAGATTGTCTATGACAGATGGAGGTCTTAGTCTGGCGGCAAGTAGCTGAAAAGCTTGAATTTGTTCCTGATGTGTGGCCTCACATCTTCATTCTGAAAGCAAGATATGTTCGTTTCCACAGCGTATCCAATAACTAAGTTGAGGGATGTCAAGAAAATAAACAAAAATCTGCCAACTTACCACTTGTACGAGGTTCTCTAAAAATGGTAACAACTTCATGAGTTCCGAGTCACTTCTATCTTCAAACCAACTCTCTATGGGGATCCCATTGTTCAACTGTGAAGAGATACATACATCATGATTCTAAATTTCCATACCCTACACCTACATATTAACATTCTCATTAACGTTTTCAATTCTGGGCACAAATGGGAAAAGTTTGAAGTATATGCATATTAATGTGCACTTAACTACTACTACACGTCTTTGCTTCTAAAGGCGGTCCAGAGGACCTTAGCCTTTAGGTCATAGTCACTGTAATGACAGTGTCTGAAGTCAGTCTGTCAGGTTGAAATCAGACAAGTTGTAGGGACAAGGGGAGAGGGAGAAAGAAAGGAAGTAGGAGTGAGAATAGAAAGATAGATCTAAGGACTGTTACATTAGTACTATATAAATATATGACTTGTCCTGAATTGAATTTTGGGTCTTTGGTTTTTAAACTATAATTTTTAAATGTCTAAACATGAATTTAATTTTGTTCACAATACGAGTCGCGGCCTGGAATGTTTGCGTATCTCCTCGACTGTCATCCACTGCTTCACGCAAAAAAAGGTTGGTGTGCGATTCCTCTTGCTGGTAGCGCCATACCTATGATGTAATCCCTAAGGTAGGGGATGTTAAGATCTCTGGATGGTATTATTTGATACATACTATGGGGCATTAGTTATTGTTCTGAGAGTCATACTCTGCATAACTTGAAGTTTACGCATCTGTGACTTGCTAAAAAGCACCAAGCCGCACATGCGTAGGTTATAGCAGGTCTGATTGTATACCCGAATCTTATTGACCAAACTCAATTTTGATGTTCTACATAAAATAGGATACAATTGCGAAATGTAATTTGTAATTTAATTTTCAGTTGTTCAATGTATGCCTGCCAAGCATTACCCTTGTCGAGTGTAAAACCTGAATATTTGGCTTTGTTAGCCCATGGTATCGAAACACCCACAATAATCTGCGACGGGGCACCACGGCGCTATGTTGTAAAATAGATAGCCTGTGTCTTTGAAAAAATGATTTTGATTAGCCACCGATTCGCCCACTCTAAAGCCTCGTCCATCGCTTCTTGAAACCTGTCATGGACTATGTCACTAGAATGCACTTAACTAGAGATGGATCATTTGAACAGGTGGGGTAATTTCCATTTACCAATGTTCTCTTGCTTATTAATGCCAGGCTGATATACAAGGTCTGTAAATTAAGTGATGATTTTAATTTTTCTTCCACTCCTCATATCACTACTGGAACTTCGACACTGGAATAGCCTTCAGCTGGCATTTGAATGTTTTTGACTGTCCCAAAATGCGTTTCCTTGAGGCGATTTTTCAACTTCGGGAAGAGAAAAAAGTCACGAAGACTCAAGTCAGGCGAATAAGGATTCTCTCTAGCCTCTGGAATGGTTTTACTAGCCAGAAACTCGTTTATTGGCATTGCTGTGTGACAAGGCGTATTATCGTGATGCAACACCCAGTTATTCTTGATCGGATGAACGGTGGTGTGAGTTGTGAGTCAAATGTAACTCCTGATCCAACGATCTGAACGCTCAAGATCCCGGATTCTGGTTTATATTCAATGGACTCTCTCCCTTCTGAAAATGCCTTAAAGCACTGGGACTGTTGACAAAACACTATCTCTGTAGGGCTGCTGAAGTTTAGCAAGTGTTTCTTTTGCTCTGTGCCCAAGTCCAAAGCAAAACCTGATAGACTGGTGCTCAAAATTGATGTCATTCATTTTTAGAACATAATATGAAAAACTGTTTAAAAAAAATTCGCTACGGACAGCCAAATGACTCGAACGAGTTCAAACTTGTACGGAAGGCAGATCACCATGTTCCCCGGTCTCACCTGCAAGCCCGGCACCTCCAGTCTTGCCAAATCGAAAGCTACGATGCCAGTCTCATCACTTAATTTACAGACCTCGTAATTAGCGTCAAATTCACCGACGTTTATTCAACGCAATATGAGGTTATAAAAATTTTGAATTTCAAGCAAACATTTCCTTTTTGTTAGCAAACTAAATCGCGTACTATTGTGATTTTTATTAGTTATTGATTTATAGATTTATGACAACAAGTTATTCCCAAAAGTTATGCTATGAGGCTATTTAACCTTCAGGGTCCTACACGAAATGTTGCGCGATTTAGTTAAGTAGCAAAAGACAAATGTCTACAATTTTTTTCTAACCACAAATTGCTTATATGCCCAATCGTCGGTGCATGTGACATGGCTGCCGGTTCTCTAGACTGCCTAGCCTTAAGGCGGCCAATGTCTACATGTTGTATCAACACTACATAAATATACCACTGTTAATTACTTTTCACAAAGTATTTTAGCAGATTTTTTCCTGTTTTATAAAATCCATGCCATTCTACTTACATGGTATCCAAAAGCTTGCGGGGAATTATCAATGATGATAGTTTTAGACAAATCTCTGCCTAGAATGGTGAGATCTTTGATATAATTCCCATTTACACAAATACAGTGTTCTCGAAACAGCCTGTACTTGATCCACTTCCTCTCTGGATCCAGTAGATTCAACAACTTATCAGCGTACACTCTCTTTGAGGCAGTGAAGAGAATTACCTCGAATATTTGAGACACCTAAAACAAGCGGGAAAGACTGAACATCGAGGATCTTTGAATTTTCATAGCCTCGTGTCTAATAATTTATAATGAAAAATCATTCACTCAATTCAGTTCATCTACTAAAAAGTGATCATAAAAGGTGTTTTCAAACTTGATACTTTCCTTTATAGCCCTGTTCGTACAGCTGTCGCCAACCTGTCAGTTATCGTTTCCAAAATCCCACCACACAAATTCCGGTCATTCTGCTACGCGATATAGATGGAAGTCGCACGACCGGATCCCAGAAACAGTCAACAATAAGTCACAGACCACTGTACGAACAAACCTTAAATGGATATTTTATCTCACAAGGTCCTATATGTTTTGCGTATCTTAACATCCCAACTTCCTCGATTCTTTCCTCTTTGGCTCATTAGTGTTACTTTTCAAGTTTCATGAAAATCCGATTTACTTAGCTAAAAGAGTATCTAGTTTCCGAGTTTTTGGCGATTCACCAATTGAGGTTAGCCATGAAAGCGGTGGATTTACTGAAAATTGGAATCTACACGGCCATTTCATAGACACAGTCACTGACCACTGTACGAATACGCTATATAGTGTACTACCCTAGGTCAGACACGTCTTGCATTAGTATGAAGGATATTATATCCCATTCATAGTCCATTCACGGCCAGACAAAATATATGCCCAAAAGCTAGATTGTACAGGTCCGTATTCTCCTATATAATAATGATTATTTTTATAGAAAGAAGTGCACATACTTTTCACATTTCTGTATTTGCTGGAAGTTTTTGAATGATCGTCCGAATGGTTAATATTAATTATTACATGTTCAATTTGAATATCGATCATATTGTCCAGATCCCACATCTTTGTTTCGATTGTCTCTTGAACGTGATGGATGCAATCTTTCCAATGGTTTGCCGTCACTCTGTTGACAGCTTCATAAAACAAATTTTTCACGGCAAAATTTTTTAATGTTCTATTGTCTGAAGCCACATAGTTTTTTATATTTGCCCAAATCATTTCAAAGGGATTTAATTCGCAGTGATAAAGGGGTAGCCTTAAAACGGTCTTACTTTGGTTTTTAGCCATTTTGTCAATAACATTGAGATTATACTCGTATTTATATTTGTGCTGCCTGACTAGATGGACAAGTTCTGGTTTGACCATATTTTCATTGAAACTAATGCCTTTTGATAGGAGCCATTGATGAATTTCTGCCTTTCTTGTGGACATTGTGGGAATTTTTGCTAGTTTTCTACAACTACAATAGAGACGTAAAAATATGTACACTTACTAATTTATACCCGACAAAGGTTTATTGGCATGATGGTTTTAACCGCCAAGTCATCGTCGAATTTGACTACATTTACAGGGTGTCTATGAAATACTCAAACACCCCGAAACCTTGGCAACCACGATTTTTTTGGAAAAAAGTTTTAGGGTAACAAAAGCAATGTGAATCTCTCTCCAGCATCACGTCTGAAGCACAATAGGACGAGAGGTAAAAATGTGTACACTTACTAATGTATACCTGAGAAAGATTATAAACTAAACCACATTTTTTTTTAAAAAGAGGTTCTAATGTTTTAGGATAAAAAAGTAATTTGTCGATGGACCAGCGACCGAGCGCTTTTGCGTCAGATACCTTATGTCAAATTCCATTAAGCCGCATAGATATTTAAAAGTTATTTCCCAGGATAAAAAGTAGCCTATGTGCTATTCCAGATTATAATCTATGTCAGTATATTTTTTCTTAGTACTTAATAGTAGTTATTAGGTTTAAAAAAATCACGAAACGACTCGCGACAGAGTCAAATCTAGGCTCGCGCACCGTGTAGGTAAACTGAACTGTCATTTTATAGATCGAATTTGACGATGTCGAGGAAGATTTCGACACCCGTTTATCAATAAGGAACATGCCGATTTAATGTTAGTTTTCGATGAGCGTCCTCAAGACACAGCAAGAGCATTCAGGCCATTTTCCTGAACCTGTCGTTCCCATGCCGCGTACGTGTATCGTTTATTCCGTACATGGTTGTTTGTAGGATCGTCGAGGTGGACACAGGAGATCTGAGAGGTCTAGAGTATTGCAAATTATAAAAGAAGCTTGTTAGCTTCAAATGTGGTTGTTTCTGAAAAGTTACAACTTTAATAACACATTTTATATATGGGAGGAACATATGCATTTAAGCATAAAATATCTTAAAATCTTTGCCAGTGGTAAAGAATAGTTAACTTAGGCTACCTTTTCCATAAATTCTCGGAAGAACGGTCTAGTGCGCACATAAACAGTGTAAGAACAATCCTGGAAAAGTACTGGGAAATGAAAACTGGCATCCTTGAGCTCCTGTAGACTGCAATGCACCAGGGTTTCATCTAAATCTAGCACCTAAAAGAAAAAAATTGGTCTTATCATTTTGTATGAAAAATGTAGATTATCATATTTCACGTTATTCGAAGGGATATGAACTATTATCAGAAAGGAAAGCACAGTAATTAGTGGGATGTAACATGAGCTTCAATTCAGCAGAAGTTGTCAATTTCATTTGGTCCTCGGTAAACGTAACTTTGCGTGTCCGACTACGAGTAACAATTTTAATTTTTGGTGCGGATCTATTCACATTCAAAAAGCACTTACCAAACTGAATTCTGGACTGGATCTCGTCTTGAGCGGCAATGCCGGACACTTGGACCTCATCTCGAATGTTAGTGGCGGCAGATGTTTGATAAATAAATATGGATCAAACGCCTCCCAAGTGTCTTCAACCACCTCAACATGTTCTGGCCTTCTGTCAAGCCTTTCAACCTCATTGGGAGCTTCAACGCTCGCAATGATGTTATTAGAAATAGCCGAGGTATATATGGAGGTGTAATCATAGATAACATTAGCACAATTCAGATTTTTTGTCATCTCCTCATCCAGCAGGTTGGTAAACTCTTGGGTGGTAACATTGTTTAAGTCTGTCATGTCGATCTGCAGATCTTGATAGCCTCCTGGATACTCATAGTACATGTTATCACAAATAGCTTCTTCCTCCGAGTACTCCTGCAATATTATAAGCTGAGAATCAATGACTAGTATTATTTCAATCTGAAAAACATTCTACATTTTTATATCCAATAAAACTAGATTTTGCTCTAACAATGACTTATTTTTGAACCACTATTTTGGTGCATCGGTCACCATTAGTCAAAAGTCTGAAGAAATTGATCTTACCAATCCATAAGCATTGTATTTTTCTTTTCTATATTCACAAGCTTTCTTCTGGGTGATGTTGAATTGCATTTTATCTGTAAATTCATTGTTGTTAGCAACTTGTAAATTACCAACCAGCTCTATGGACGAATATTCCATTTCCTTTGGAAGGTCAGTATCCATGATCTCTGGCTCCTTTTCGTCACTGCTAGTCGATTCAGTAGTTTCAGTGTAGTAGTACCTTAAAAAGATGAATTTTTAATACAGAAATAAGAGTCAGCTTGAGAAGATAAGAATGAAACCTCCTTACTTATTAAGATGTACTTGAATTTAGTCCACACTTACAAAAATGCCCGAAGTTTTTTATATCAAAGGTCTTATATTGATGTACAAGGAAACTAGAAATGGCTTAAAATGTTAATGCAAAATCAGAGGAAAATTCACCATCTAGTTCATACAATATTTGGCTTGATAATTGTATTTTATATTCCAGAGACTAAAAACTGACTACAGAAAACCGGTACCAAAATGTTACAGCAAAATTATAAAGTGAACCTCTACATAACTTTTAAAAAATTAGGTTGCGTCAAATTCAGCTGTTTGGCTTGGAAACAATTTAGTTGCTGCTGAGCATGTTGTGTGGCCAATGCTAGTCCTAGTTTTGATAAATGTTTATATAGCTATTACCCTTCTGTCTGTGCCATATCTCTGACAGTAGCATTATTTACGTTACAGACAACACTCTGCTCTTCATATATCTCTGGCACCACCTGGACTTGGTAGTTCTCTTTCAGCTCCTCTGATACCGCGTTGGCAGCCTTTTCTAGCGGTTTAGAAGCCCCCTGGTAGTTTCTTTTTGAATTCTTGATGTTCCTGTAGAGTGACAGTGACTTGGACTTGGGTACCCAAGTAGACTTCTTCCTAGAGTGTGACTGCTGCCGTCTGTTGGAGTTTAATCCAAATTTGCGCAAGCCCCTGACGCCACGCTTCTCGCTACGTAGCCACATTCTCCACAGCCGATCATGCTTTATAGAACAAAAATTTTACACAATGTGCCACTATGAGGAGTTAATAGATATGATTACTGTGTAGATATTTTGGAAAATGAAAAGGGTACAAAACATGGTAGTTTAAGATTTAGCCCCCGACTCCACAAGGGTCTTAGTTAGGCAAATACAGGTACGTGTATTAATATTGCTAATTTTATTGAATATTTTTTGAAATCAAAGATGTTTCAAGTTGATTTCATTCCTTATTTGAATTTATCTTAATACAGTTACACAATTCCTCCAAAAAGTACTATTTAATCTTGACCTTAGAGCCAAGGTGATTGAACAATTTTCCAAGCAAGTCATTCATGAAATGAGATGTTATTGTACTAAACAGTTCAAAATTGACTGGTAAACCTGACACCATTTGATGAAGAAATAACGAAACACAAATATTCCATTATGTCAGGTGTTGAACAATTAGTTGTAATGGAGTTACATACATGATCATGATGTAAAAGTAATATGTATGATGTCTTGTGATCAAAGTAATGATCCAAAATGCATAGACATTTCTGAGTCTCACACTTGATAAAAAAAGGCGTCAAGTGGGTTGACTCTGCACTTCCTACGCAACACAGTCATCAGTTCATAAAGGATTAAGTTCGGCGCAATTTAAATCCTCTGAAAAAATTAAGTGACGGACATGCAAAACAGAGAACTTAAACGTATTTATTATATTATATTAGTCCATAGACTTTTTTCACTGCCCTTGCACCTTTCCACATCTACGCGGCATCGCTGTAGTGAGCTGTCTTACATTTTGTGTAGGTCCGTATGTTTTTTGCGTTTCAGTATCGATATAAGCCAGACGGTGCGCTTAGATAGGCAAGAGTACGCGAATCGAAAACATTTCTCCATCATTCTAACTTTTGAAGGCAAATGAACATATAAATTTATGATGTGTGAAATACGGCTAATAGGTGCATATAATTATCGGTTGGGAGCGTAAAAAAATACTAAGCCCAAAAAATTTCATATACCCCTCCCGACCCCCTACAACCCCCAAATTTCAACCCCTACAAACATTTACTGAAAATGATGAGGACCATCTAAAACGTCAAGAGACGAAGTTTGCCAGATTGTTATTTCTTTCGTTTTTGGTATTTTTCTGCGTCGCAAGGGACCGATTTTTAAAAGCAAACTTCCGCGTCCTAGTCATGGTTAGCGATGTGCCGACAGCAATATTGCCAAATGGCAATATTCCCATGTTAGGAATATTTCTAGAAAGTTGCGAAGGTCTGTTTAAGTTGCCAAAATTTGGGAATTTTTAAAGCGGCAATATTGCCGGAAATGTGGGAATATTTACACAATTATTGCAACATTATTGGCAATCTTGCCTACATTTTATTAGTTGCGTCCGAGGGCGCAATCAGCTCTCTCCCACCGGACCAATATAATACGTCGGGGCTGTCGCGCCGCCGCCGCTGGTGCGCGGTACGACGGCAATAAACCACGACTCCACAAAAACGTTGACCAAAAAGCATAAAAGGACTTTACTTGATGACCAGTTTTGGTCACATTTGGAGAACCTGCAACTACTTGTGCACTGGATCACATATTTGGAGGGTGAATACAATATTATTGACACAGTGTGGTCGGCATTTTTTTAAATAGAAAAAAAAAACTGGAAGGCCTTGAAAGCTTCAACAGAAGCCAGGGATTAATAATGACAGCACAAGAACAAATTGACAGTTGTGAAGGAATATGTCAAATCGGACGAAGCATAAATAACATTGCTATGTACAGATTCGAGACGGAATTTGGAGAAAGGAGTTTGTTTGGAAGACTGCTGAAAATAAAAGCATAAGTGATTTGTTATGGTGGAAAACATTTTATCAAAATACTGACTTAGGAAAGGTTGCAATAAGAATTTCAAGTGGGCCCTCAACATCTGCCTCTGAGGAAGTATCCTTCTCCACATTCTCATTTGTACATGATAAGAAGCGACATAAACTGATTAACAACAGAGCAGGAAGACTATGCTAAATTTCCAATAACTGGAAAGTTATCCACAGAAGGAAGGCACCAGGTATCAATAAGTCAACCAAAATCACAGCTGGTAATAATACTGAGTTCACATCACAACAACCACAGCAAGCAAAAAATACAGTCTCAGTCATCGTCAAGAACACTAGTCGCCTTCATCATGCTCCTATACATCAGGGTCGGAATCGGAAGCAGGATCTGAGACTTAATTCCCGGGTTCAAAATCACCATGCACGAGCACGAATTACACGATATATCATAATCCCATAATTTTAAGGTTAAGATAAGTTTTGTAATAATAAGAGGAACTCGTGTTTAGTTTAATATTTTTTTTTTATTTGTGTCATATATTATAATAAACTATGTATTACTTTATTCGTTTCTTTGCTCATACCTTTAATTATATTCAACAGTACAACATTTAACTGATTTTCAGTTTTAAACATAAAGTTTCCACTTTTGGGCAATATTATCCCTAATATTGCCTTGGATCTAAATTGCCGGCAATCGCACAATGCTAGCCATAGTAGAACATCGTGTAAAAATATCATCGAAATCTTAGAGGTACTTCTCAAGTTATAGGCAGTTATAAGATTAGCAGACATACTGACGGAAATGAGTGACTTGCGTTTTTCGTGATGTACATGTTATACAACTTCCAAAAAACATGAATGTATCTCATTTTCGTAAATTTTTGACTATTACAATTCCTCCTCGCGTATGAAGTATAAGAAGATTTGTTTTCAAAGTTTGTCAGCCATAACTGACAAAAATGTTCATTCAGCAGGAGATAGTTAGTTACATCTGTTGACTTTTTTTTTATAAAACTTTAGTGGATAGCACTTTTCTGAAACATCCTATACAAAAAATATTACATGAAAAACTTCATATTAGGTACTATAACTTTTATATATACTCCTTGTTCTTCTGGAAGGTCATATAAAAAAGTTAGAGGGGGCAGTTTATAGATGGACATCCTGTACATGCCCTTTTGCAATGCTGATGATCACTGGGTGTCCTAGCAGGAGGCTCACCACTATAACTTTCTTATTTTTAAAGATACAAAAATGAAATTAAGTATTTAGGTATATCACATACAAATATGCACTGTGTGACATATTCAATTGTTTACTTTCAGTTGCAGTTTAGACAAAAATGACTTTAATCTTGTTAGTTTAAATAGGTCATCTGGTATATTTTTGGCTATTTGGATAGAAAATGGCATTCTGAGTACAATGACGTTGCATTTGCTACCTTTTGACATCTAACTTACAAATACTTCTAATTTTTAATCCAGTGTGCCATGAATATGATCAAAAGGTAAATTTTTGGACTAAGCAGTTACAAAAAAATAGATTTGATTGTCTCTTGTTGTTTATAGGCTCTTCACAGCCGTTTAAAGTTTGCAAAATAGTATTTATGATTCTAAGTCAATTTTTCCAAATGGACCGAGAGTGGCTCACTAGCACAGCTACAAAGAGCATTTTTACTCACAATTTGGTACCTCACAAACAATATTTTAGTTAAAATTATTTCAGAAAAATCCACATTCATTACCTCATTATTCATTCTGCCATAACAGCAAAACTAAGGTGGCATAGGAAAAACAGTGATCAGTTGTTGTCATGAATTTGCCAGATTCCCTAATAAATTATTAAACAATTGATACATTATTATGTTTTTACAAAGATACTTTTCACTTATAAAATTCTTTATACAGATGAAAGTCGCTTTACAATTTTAGGCATTTTCAACAGAAATAATAAAGGAATATGCAAGAAAGTTTTGGTTTTAATTTTTAGATGGGAATTCTAGGAGACAGGATTCTAGGCCTCATAAGCATTTGACAGGAGAGATATTCCTTTTTCTTGAAATTGAAAATATCTTGGATGAAAAGCCTTTCATAAATAGGAATGTCATTTTATCAACAAGATGGTGCTCCGTCCTACAACACGTGGGTGATATCAACCTATTTAAATAATACTTATTAGGAAACTGGATTGGCAATAATACCTCCAAGGTATGTAGAACTGATTATTGAAAATCTTCATCGAAATTAATTTGTTTATTTAAATATTAAGTTGGAAAACAAACTAAGGGTGACCCTTAATAGTATTACACTAATGCATCTTTAAATGAAAATAATACGCAAAACAAGTGAGAGAAATAACGTTGCCAACAACAACATGGTGCTCATTTCAAACATCCAATAAATTAAAAAGTATTTATTGGATAGAACAATTAAAACATATTTCATTAACTATTGATTATACAGTTTAGATAGTTAGCAGTATTTTATTTTGCTAGAGATTGAAAGTTTTGGAAAATTATATTTATTACATTAATAATAAAATTGTTTTATTAAAAATATAAGAAAAAATCCTCTGTAGCTGTGCTAATGAGCCACCTTTTGCATTTGATCAAAAATTACTTAATGCCATAGATAAACTAGGTAATGAAAATGGCACACTAAAAGTTAGATGTCAGCATCATTGTACTCAGAATGTCATTTTCTATTCAAATAAGCAAACATTTATGGGGTGTCCCATTTGAAATAACAAAGTTTAAGTCATTTCCGGCTGGTGTGCATATTTCTGTGATATACCTACATACCAAATTTCTACATCTTCATAAAAAATAAAAAAATATATATGGGTGAGCTACCTGCTAGGGACACTCGGTATACCTCTCTGATAAAAAAAATTGCACTTTTCAGTTTAACCCAGATATGCCTAGCGTACAATTTATGGTACACCGTAAACAAGTCGCGACTTGCAACGACCTGTGCTTATTTTGACGCGGTAATAGCACAGATGTATTCAGTAAGCCTTTGTAAATCGTAACGTGCGGTTGGGTGTTATCGTTGTATTGAGATTTTTTTGCGATTTTGTGATGAAGTTTTTATTTTTTGTGACATGGCTGAATATGGAATACGATTTGCCAAGTAAGTAAATATATGGTCTTTACGTAAATAAAAAAAAATGTTTTGATTGCTTCTACCAATAAAACACCCATGCTTTTTTCCAGTTATAATGCCAAATTACTTATGTTATTATTTCGGATTCACAATTGCGTCATTATATTTGAGTGTGCAAAATATTGTACGCCAGGAAAATACATGTCTGTTTCATTCTTAGGGGCTTTTCTCTGGAGGAAGCCCTTGCTATGCTGGAGGATAATGAAGATGTAGTAGCAGATGTGGATAATATCACATTGATGCCTCCAATCAATGCTTGTGACATTCTCACATACGAGGACTCTGGCGATGAGAATGTAATGTCAGCTGATAATCTACCGGGTTCACAATTACAAGCACCTGCTGAGATAAACATACCACATGAAAAATTTAGCATATCTTCATCTGAATTGGCTAAAAAAATAAAAAGCTATTGAAACGAAAAACGTACAAATGGGCGAAGGAGGATCTGCCACAAGAAGTTCCAGGAGACTTCGAAGAAATTCTTGAACAAAATAATTCTTCTAAGACTCCAGTTTTTTTTTATGGCGAACTTATAACACGCATAACAACTGAAACAAATAGATATGCCAGCGAAAAGAATCGCCAACAAGAGGTGCAAGAGTATGAAATAAGGGCATTCATTGGAACACTGATATTGAGTGGTTATGTCAATGCACCACGTAGAAGAACTTTCTGGGAACGTGAAAGAGATGCTAATAATCAACTCGTCACAGAAGCGCTTACACGGGATAAATTTGAGTATATTATGTCAAATTTCCATTTAGTAGATAACTACAATTTACAGCAAGGAGATAAGGTAGCAAATGTTAGACCTTTATTTGTGAGCCTGAATCAAACATTTATGGAACATGGAATTTTGACAGAAATTAATAGTGTAGATGAGGCAATGGTTCCTTATTTTGGGAGACACTCATGCAAACAGTTCATTCACGGAAAACCTATACGATACGGCTATAAATTATGGGTTGGCGCATCAAGACTAGGCTATGTTTACTGGGTTGAACCTTATCAAGGGTCATCAACCAACACTAATAAGAATTATGCAGATTTGGGGGATGGTGCTGGTGTGGTATTAGAGCATTCTCATGCAATGAGGAAAAAATAGCCAAATGAAAAAAGAAAGAAAAAAAAGAAGTAGTTATGATTACAACAAAATTTCCGATACAAACATAATTGCAGTAAAATGGCATGACAATAATTTAGTAACACTCTGTTCAAATGCCGCAAGATTGCAACCAATTCGCTTTGTAAAGTGATACTCTCAAAAGGTTAAAAAAGTATTCAGGTAAGAAACACAATCTGCAAGAAAATCAATGCATTCAAAAATGCTTTTGATTTTAGGTAGAACAGCCTCATCTTGTAAATGTATTCAACGCAAATATGGGCGGCGTTGATGTTGTGATCAAAATATTGGTCTGTATCGCATTTCCATCCGGGGTAAAAAGTGGTATTATTCATTGATCAGCCACTGTATTGATATGGCTGTTCATAATTCCTGGCAACTTTATAGATCGCTTGGAGGACATACGACATACAGCCTTGATACAACAAAACAAGTAACCGCTATCTTTTTCTAGAGGACATCCTTCGGCTAATGAATATATAGATATTCGTTATGATCGTTTAGATCATTTTGTGATACCACAAGAAAAGCCAACTAGATGTGGCTTATGTCATGATAGAGCAAAAACAAGGTGCAAGTGCAATGTAGGGATGCATGTAAAATGTTTTTTGTCCTTCCATACTAAACCTTAATGTTTGCCTATGTAAATAATAAATTTGTTTAATATATGCTTCATATAGAATGAATTTGCAGAGAACATACTTTATTATAATTTATTTGAGCTGTAGGCATATCTGGGTTAAACTGTTTTGTATGATACACAATTTTCAGTTACCTCATGGAACATTAGGATTGTTTGGAACTCACAATTTTGTATAATGTTTTTGCAGAAAAGTACAAATTTAATGTGAAATGTCAACAATTGTCAAACTGACAGCACAAGTCTGATCAATTTGTAGTATGAACTTGCATCCTGACTACGGACTACATAATTTTGGTCACAAATAAATCATACAATTTCTCTGAATTTGTTGGGCTAGCCTAAAAAGGTATAATTAGTGTAGACTGCATTTAGATTATTTCTTACATATTATATGATAATGATGATAATAATTCTGGAAAAATGTTACATAATACTTGAAGATTTCTTTATGATGGTACAATTTATCTTTCTTCTTCAAAGTGATAAATGCGTTCAGAGCTAGCTTTGTGGAGTTCAGAGAGATGCATAGTTTTGTTTTATGTTCCTAGTTTCCCACCAAATTACTAAAACTCATAAAATTCCATAATTTTGTTTCATGTAACAAGATAATTTCAGATCGAATTTAGTAGATGGATTTATACAGGAATACTCAAGTTATTAAATATTCAAATAAAATAGTTGTTAAGTACACAGGATAGCACCTGTACAGAAATTATTGATTTCAAGTCCCTTAATGTTAACCAACTAGGTATGTCTGGGCGGATAATCCCATTAAATTAGAGATACAAATAACAATTTTTAGTTGCATACAAGAATACAAATAAATTAAATAATAAGTTCACATAGGAATCGATGCCATACAATTTTTATGAAGTTACTTCAACCAAGAGTGTCAAAAAGTATTGTCCAATTATTCCCGCCATCCCATTACAGCAAAAAATCAAAATAAACAATATTCCTTCACAAATGAAAACAAAATTGCTTATAAGGTGCACAATAATAAGAAACTTCACTGATATCATAATTCATCAAATGTTTACAAACAAGAAATAATGCGGCATAATATTCAACTATTTCTTCTCTGGAAATTTTGAGAGTGCAGTAATAACATTGAAGATACATTGTGTGTTGACTCCTTTGTTGGCTTCCGTGACTTACCGAGAAAAACAATAAGATTCAAGCACATTTCATGCCATTACAGGTAAATCACTTGAATAAATCATTGTTAAAAATCTTCCGAAGCCATTAAACTACAAAGCACTTTATCAATATGGCGGCCCACGCGATTTTTGATTGATATTTTTGATTAGCGCATGCGCAGAGCGATGTGATGCAGGTAGGACACAGGTTGGCACAGGTGTATTTTGCAAGTCAGAAAAGTCACTAACAAAAAATTGCCGCTTAAATTCAATTGTTTTTTTTCTCAAAAAAAATATTTAAATAACTCCAGAACAAATGGTGGACAACTACTGAGAGACTAATATAATATAGAGCTATCAAGAGATAACAAATGAGAATATGGGTCCCGGCTAATGGCATACTCGAGGTGATTACTAGCTATACCCAGCGGTGTATTACTGGTTGCAGACAACAACATCTGGTTAGCTAACTTTTTGCAAAATTCCAGTGGCGTATCATCCCACAATATTAGGGATGGGTCTCCAAGAAGCAGAAGTAGGAATTATAAATCAAATTCAAGCGAATAACCAAAATTTCTGTGTTATGTGCCGCGGTTATAATATAGTTCAAGATGACACACGGGTTGATGACGTCAGTTACACGAATCGCTTGAACGCGTTGGTTTTAACCGCGGTTTTGTTGCAAGTTGTTTATTTCATAAAAGCGCGTATATAGTCTCTGATTATTTTTATTATCGCTTAATAATCGGTGCTTTTTCGTCTACAACGGTGTATGGAAATTTTAAATAAGAAACCTTTCATAATATTCATGGGAGAAATGTTTTTTTTTTCAGAAAACATTTTTTAATGATGGAACTATGGTTTTGTAGCTATGATAACTTTCAATTCTCTAAAGTTTTTCGCATGTCAAAGAAAACATTTATTGATTTAGCAGAAATGATGAAAAAGCGATGAAAAAAGATATTAGCAAAACCGTATACAAGTGGACATCATCCAGTGAGTTTATATGGCCATATTTTAATATTCTTGTGGTATATGGCTACACAGGATACTTTGTTAAGCATAGGAACTAGATTTAAAGTGCTCCCAACAACAGTAATGAGTATAACTAATAAGGCGCTCCACTGTATGCTAACACTGAAGTCAGCCTGTATCAAGTTTCCCAAAAATGAAGCTGAAGTACAATAACAATATCCTATACCCGGCAAAATTCTAACTTGTCACATTTCAAATAATAACCAGAAATATAAAACTCTACTCCTGAGTTGGGTAAATTCCACAATATTGCGGTGATAACTATGACAGATAACAGCTGATTCATGACGTCACGTATCTTATAACCAAACTGATAACCACACTCGCTTGAACGGATCGGTAAATACCAACCCAAAATGGTAAATACCATTTTCATTTGGTTATCCGCTTGAATTTGATTATAGTTTACATGAGGTAAATATGATTTTGTTATCTGGTGGGGTGCAAGCTTAGATTTGATGGTCGAGAGAAAAGTGATCGGGCTAGTGTATTGTTGGGGCGCAGCTAGAAGTTCTTTGCTTTAACGTCGTATCAATCAGAATGCGATAGAGAAAGTGTACGTATATATTTTTCAACACAATGAACAGAAAACCCATACATTTTATTTTAATTTTTGAGTATTGCTTTTGTACGAAAATGGAAATGAATCTAGAGTGCCCATCTCAATCAATAAAATTACATATTATAGGACTGCATTGTTTCGCGTTATTGACATACATTGGTGGTCGAAACGTCGTACAATAAACAGAAATTTAAGCATATAGGTATGAGGTTTAATTCGGTCAGACAATGGAGTCCTATGAACATGAAAACCACATGATAAGTTTCAGGGGAGTTACATTAAAACTAGATATTATTCTGCATAACATGGTTGTCTTTTATTATTCATCATTTTTACATATATACAATTAAAAATCAAATATACAATCTACATTTGATATCAACTTCCATTATTATGGGTAATATACAGAAAATATCTGTATTGAAAAAGTAATAAATGTGTAGGTATGTAGTTATTTGATTAAATGATATATAGAAAACCTGTGGAAACACTTGGCTCAAATCGTAGGTATGTACAGAATTCAGACTTGTAGTAAGTATATGATAAGATATTTTTTCTACATAGGTACAAATAATTACCATTTGACATTGCTTTTTACTTAAATTAGTCCTACGTATACCAGCAGCAAGGTGTTCAATTTGAAAAAGGTCTAAAACATTGAAGTAGTTCATTTTGCAAATGCGTGAAACGGCCATAGGAAATGATAGAGACAGGATTGTCCAAAACCCTGTTATACTTTGAACTTCATAGCAATTCATTGTTTTTCTATCAGTACAGACTGATGTCATCTTGACGCGATGCGAAAAAACGCGCTATTATTATTATTATTGTTTCGACGCGCGTTGCCGTCCTGACGAGCTTTATAATGCAACGGCCGTGTGCACCGTCAGCTTAATGTATATATTATAGATGTATAAGCATCATACATCTAGTAAAGACATCCCAAATATTTAAAATCAAGTATCCCAGATGCTATGAAATTATTTTTCTTAGCAACTTTTCACCAAAAGTGGGTACCGCAGGCAGAAACCTCAAACAAATGATTAAGAAAATTAACGACAGGTTCTTGGTTTTTCAAACTGATGCATAATGCGTTAAAAGTGACTGTCAAACTAGGTATTTACTTACTACTAGGCAAGTGTATTTCCTCGCGAAAATGTATGAGAATTGGAACACTTATTACGTTATGATACGTATAAGCGTACCATGTTAAACATTTAAAAAGTCAGGCACTTGGTTCCTAAAAGTAAAGCAACGCAGCAAATCACAAATTACTCAGGAAAGGGATATATTTTAAACTATGCAGATTTAAAATGGAAATATGGTGATTTTACGACACAAGGATATGCAGATACGAACGTTTCATGTTGCTGGATAGAAAAGGGCTTAGGCAAAATTCATATTTTACGAAGAAAATATGAAATTATGAAGAAAGTTAAATTCACCCATGTACCAGATCGTAAAACTCGTACTGCATAGTACTAGTAGGTTTGTTATGTAAAACAGGTGAACCAGACGTACTATACCTATAACCCATAACTGTATGGGGCGATAGATTAACCTCTATGGTCATTATTGTATATTGGACAGTGTTGTGGTAAAATAAACTTACATATATGAATACTGAATCAAGTACTATGCGTAATATATTTTTCAGGCTGCTGTGTTGTAATATCTAATTCACATAATCCTATTTTTGATCACTTTCATGAAGCATTGTGGCTATTTCATGGATAAAATGATGATTCCAGATATACAGCCAAGGAAAGACGCAGTTCCTAAATAAGTGTAGGTCAAAATATACTTATGCTTAATGCCGAGATAAGTTTTCATAACGGTTAGCTATGATTGTTTAAAATCATTTTGATATTAGTCACAGTTCACAGTAAGAAAATAAATGACAATGCGACTTGAGTTAGATGATGTCATCTAAATACAAAAGGTTGTACTATAGTTCTTTTTACAATAATGCGTTGCAGTATATTTCGAATGATGGAGGCATATATGTACATACATTGTTTTGACAAAAAAAAGAATTGGTGAGGTGTAAGTTATTTAAAATAAAATTAAAATATACAACATGGAACAAAACCTGAAAATTCGCAATTCAAAATCTTCGAACTGAATATTCTCGCGGCTTGCATTAAAATCTCCGAATCGTGTTTTTTCAATATTTCAATATTTAGTTCAAATTATCCGTCTGCATATTTTGCTAACACAGAAGTGTATAATAATAATAATATACGTATCCCGCAAAGCTCCATCAAACCTAGAGCAACTGATTTCCAGCAGTAGCATAAAAGCTGCCGTAAAAACTATTTTCAGCTTTGGAACTTCTTGATAACACAAATTCACACAACTTGTACAGTCGTATAAGCACTGAAAGTTACTTTTTTTTCATTTTTCTTCCTACTTTGATCTTCTTTTCCATTTTTGATCACACTTTTCAAATTAACATCCTTTCCGACACCGTACATATCAGTCCATCTGCTATCTTCTGAAGGAAAATCTCTCAGCTTCGAGCTAAGACCAAACAGTCTATTACTGATATTCTGATTTGAAGTTAGGCTTGAAGTGCTTCCGAAACCCCTTGCTGGCTTGGCACTGTAAGAAACAGGATAATCTTGAGTAGTATCTATATATCTGTAGGCCATAGGCACGAAATTTTTCGTTTCTGCTTTCGCCCTAGGCTTTTTCAGCATCCTCGGTACTGAATTCGTCCAGCTGTTATCCAAAACCAACTTGGTCCTGCCTAAACTGCTAGTATTATCAAGCTTCTTAGGCTCGTACTTCAACACTTGTTTGTCTTTGGACTTGAGGAAGGAAGTAAAGCTTTGAAACTTTTTGGGATGCGGTTCATTCAAGGAACTCTTTATGACGAGTCTATGTTGGTCTAATTCAGAGCTGGGCTCAAAGTTGACGTTTACTCTTACGTATTGTCCACTGTAAATATCTTGTTTTTCTATTGTAGGGGGTTGCGGCGCTTTGCCTTTTTTCCTTCTCACAGGACGTTTCGGTGGCTCCAAAAGATCCTCAGCACTGTTCCATACCTTCCTCAGACTGTTCTCGTTGACTAGAATTCTGCTGGTGGGGTTTACATCCAATATACTCTCGATAGAGTTGGATTTTCCTATACTCGATTTGATTTCATCGTTTCTATACCTAGAATATTCTACTCTATCTTGTTCTTCACTTTTCAAGTGCCTAGGTTCCGGTTCCCTGGTAATTTCAATGTGGGTGACTCCATTTTGGTCAGTACGCTGCAGCAAACTGAACTTTGTCGCGAAATTTTTGTTGTAAAGCTTCTGGTTCGTTACTGCTTTTAAAGCGGTGAAGTTTCTGTAGAAGCTTTGCAGATGCGTGACGTTGTCGAACCTGAATACGAGTGCTTCATTTTTGATGACGAAAATCAGGATGTCGTTGCACTTAACGTCAGTGTAGCAAACGCAGTCGACTAGATTGAAGCTCTCTCTGACCTGGTCGCTGGCAGTTAGCTTCTCCAGAGCGTTCTCCGCAGCTTTGAGATCGCTAGCTTCGGTGTCAGAGTCTGAAGAGCCATTTGCAGAGTCTGTTTCGGTGATCTTGGTGCCGGCCTTCTCAGTGAAGCTATCGTTATCGCTGGAAACCAGAGAGAGGTTGTCTATGTCACTTTCGAAGCCTTCATCGGCTTGCGAGTTGACGTGGGGCAGTTTGGTGCTGTGTGAGAGTCGCACCAGGTTCAAGTGACCGTTCTGCAGCTGCAAGTGGTACTCTAGTAGAGGTGCTGTGCGTTTTTGGGCTTTTTCCACCAAGGCTGACAGTGAGCTTGAGGTGGAGGCTTCTCGAAGAAGTAGTACGGGCATCTCGCCAAGGCATGATCTGAAACAATGAAGCAGTTGTTAGTTAGGGTGTAATAGATTATAATGATCGATTTGTTTTGAGCTATGAGGGTGTTTTTGTTCGTCTCAAGCTAAAAATAGTGGTTACGAGTCCTTGGATTAATTTGAAGTTTTCTGAAAAACTGCTTGACTTCAAAGATACTGCAGAAAGACAACGTTTTCCATTAACAAAAAGTATTTTTGAGCATTCATAGGCACTAGATGGAATTTAAAAAAAGTTTTTAAATAATTAATGCTCCACAGAAGATGTCAACTGATGTTAGTAGGATTTGAATCAGTATTTCCAGAAAGCGCTATCAATTCCTCGAGCATTATTTGGCTATTTTATTTATTTTTGTACCTCAAGCTCTTTTTGCGAATCTAGGTTACTTGTTGACAAAAACAAAATAAAAAACATCAATTTTTCAATGGAAAACCACATCTGATGATCGCCACCTACCAACGGTTTCGCAAAGCTGATTTTCATCAACACCCATGATGTCCTTACGCTTTCTAGCTCATACCGCTCAATTTCTACGCTTAGTGCCGAGATGCACGGTGAACGTGTCAAATGGCCGGAATACCAGACATTCACAGAGAAAACCAGCAACGGGCTTTCCATGCGAATATGCATAATATAGGTACATGGCTTATAACGACATCCCTTATGTCGGGTCATGGAGACAGTCAGCAGGAAAGACCAGTAGCTGATTAAGATAAATTAAAAAAAAATAGTATTTATTTGCGCCCTTTAGATGACGGCATATCTACTATTCAAGTTAGAATAACTACTAAATAGAAGATTACAATCCTTAGTGGAGATATATGTTATAACGATAACGGCCTCCCCCACTATGTAGAATATAGCATAATTTCTTTAACGTTCTGCGGTGCTGCCAAATGAAGCTGACGTAATTTCTCAACGATAGATAAAGATAGGTGATGTTACGAACACTTCATCCAGTTCAAACTTATTTTAATAATACCTATTTAAATTTATCAAGTAGCCTGGGACTTGAAAGCTTCCAAAATATCGGACGAACTAAACAATCAAGCAGACTATTACGCCGTGCGCTGAACCCAGACAGCAGAAAGAGACGCGTATCGAAAACATTCTATCATTATAAGTTTTAAAGACAAATGTACCGGGAAACCTATGATGTGTAAAATATGGCTGATAGATAGGTAGAATTACCGGAGTTTGGAGCGTATAAATATATTAACATCAAAAATTGAGATATATGCTCCCCATCCCCCTAATTTGTTTACCCCTAAATTTTTTCATCGATCTTCTGAAACGCCAAAAAATGTTTGAGCGTAGCAGAAACCTTGTGTGAAAATTCCGTCCAAATCCGTGCAGCACTGTCCACGTTATAGAGGCGCTAAGGAGTACGGGAATGATCGACAGACAGTCAACAGATAGATCCTCAGACCGATAGACCTACAGTCCGACAGACAGACGGATCGAAATGAGTGGCATGGTTTTTCGTGATGTACATGTTATATAACATCAAAAAACATCTCATTTTAGAATTTTTTCGCGATTTAGACATAAACTTCCCCGCCCAGTGGTTCGGTGGCGTAGGAACTTATATGTAGTCGCTGCATTTACGAGTAGTAAACAATAATTGTTACTAACATTCAAAACTGGATAAAAGTTTGCAGTAACAATTCTCTGTCCAGCAAGCGGTAAATATTGGCGATTTCTCAGGTAAAAAATAACTCAGATAGAAATGACAACATAATAAAAATATTATAAAATAAATATTAGTGCAAGAAATTCAGTGGCAGAGACATAAATCTTAAAATTCGCTATCCTTTGAGATGACAATTCTCCGAACAGACAAAGAATTGGCGGAATCGCCATAGTATTTTTTATCCTACATAACATGTCCTTTCAGGTAAAACATGATTTGTTGATATTGATTTGGATGTTCATCCTCCACTAATTTTCAGCCAAAGAGATAGTGATGATTCATGCAAATAGGTACCTACTATCACCTTCAATAGTAAGCATTAAAAACCAACAATTAGCACTAGGTTAACGGGTAGTTAATGCTAAATTTAATGAAGTTATAGATATTGATTTATCGACATGATGAGCACGATCATTAGTTCATTAATACTTTCTTCGCGGTATTGTATGTATGAAGCATCACTAGTAGGTATAAACCGTAGCTCGAAAGTTTCATAAAACACTCAACATTAATTAGATGATTATTCCCATCCTATCCACGATATTTAATGAACTCGCTGGAGCGAAATACTGAAGAACGGAAATAAATTGAATAATATGTGACAATGTAGCCACCTTCTAATGTGAAAGAACGATTATAACACCAGTCTTATGCCTACACTGTTGTTTTCTCTGCCAGAGCCGCCTCACGGAAATCCCCGATTGTTTCATAAAATGCATCCTTCCTAGTAATTAAAAGTACCCAATCTATGTCTTGACTTTTGTAGCACCAGGATTTGACAATTTTCGGGACTTGCAGACAGAATGCATTGAGTTGTAGGACTAGTAGACACTCTATAAACACATGAGTATGTCGACCACGAGAAAGCAAGCGAAGACTGTATTCTGTTTTCTATACAGGACATGGGTTTTAGTAATAAACCAATGACTATGCTTAATATTCTGAGGCTTTGGTAATCTCAAAAGAGCTTCTGTTCTATTTTTCCATAAATTAATTATGATCTATGAAGCTATTGGCAAGCGAATGCGAGTACTTTTCCCAACGACACCTGGATCGATTTTTAAAAATTAAAGTCGATTAATAACTACGGATGGTACTTGGGTACACTATGATCCTGAAATGCGACATCAAGCTGCAAACTGCAGCATGGACTGAACCCAATTGTTCTGCTCCGAATCAAGCACAGTTGTCGCAATCGTTTGAAATTACCGTGGAATCCCTTTCTGGGATGCAAAAGAGATATTTTCGATAGATTGCCGGTTTCTAGAAGAAAAAAAATACGTTTGGAATTGCTTGAGAACAAACATTTTTCTATAGGGGAATGGTTTTTGGTCAAATGAAGAAGCTATTAATTACAGCGGTAAACGAGGAATTCAAAAAATTACTCCAGGTAAGGTATAAATCAAATAAGGAATCGCTGGAGAAAATGTCAAATAGTATACTGATAACGTACTTTCATAGATCAACTAATATTTTATCCATGAGTCCAGAGACTTTTCAAATCAGCTTATAGTAACGAAGCTCAGTAGGTTCTACAATAGGCCATATTACCCAAAAATTTGCCGTTTGTGCGCTCACACAAGACACATTTTATGCACTTGAGGTTTAATACATCGTACATTCTTATTTATTGCAGGTCTTTTTAGGTGTGTATGTTACAGTTGTAATACGCTCTTAGTAACAACGCGTTTTCCCTAGTTGATACAAGTTTTCACTAAATGTCTTTGATACGACTAGAATTAACTGCTGCTCAAAAACAAATATAAGTGAAAACTAGTTCTAACTGGAGATGACTGACGTTGTCAAAGTGAGTCAGTTAAAACTGTTTCAGCCAGGATTAAAAGTCGAGGAACAAGCTGCGTATGACAGAGGGTGTATGTAAGAACAAACAGAACCGTTATATCGCAAAATGCCGCGATAGTTCGTATTATAATAAAAAGTATCACATCAATGTTTTCTTTTTAAGTTTTTAAGAAGCTGTTTTTGATGTTGCTTCGGTTGATTTAGTTACTTGAAATTAATATCGTCGCCATATCACATTTTGCTGGATGTTGACCATATGTATGTATGTTGATATTATTTAATGGCTATTATTTTTGTTTTATTAATATCTATTAACTGTTACTTATTGTTTTAACAAACAATACCAGTATTTTCAACCCCCCAACAAGCTTTAGTAGTAGTATTTGCTTTTAAATAAGATTTGAAGTGAATAGGTACTAGGTCTATCTAAAATTTAAATATCTACATATGTACGAGTATATGCAGTAAATTCTAGATTCTAGTTATAACTAGGAAATTCAAGATATAACATAGGCGGATAGTAGAAACCAATTTTAACAAGAGAAAAAGGGGTTATAACTAAAAACGAGTTTTAGCTGTAGCATATACAGTGTTTTTCGAAAAGGTTCCCCCGCAATTATTTTTTGAAGGGGTCAAGTTAGCCGACTGGAATTCGGAGTGGTGAAATTGACGCGCGGATACTATATTCCAACATGAAAATGACAGTTGAAAACTTCAAGATGGTGGCTGAATACGATAATCGATAGTCTTGCTAGGGCAGGTTCGGTGAAAGATTCCCCGGCCTCCAAGAAACTCATGGATTAAATGCAAAAATAGTCAGGAATATGTCGGATAAGCCTTCACCGTCGATGCTCTAGGAACTTGAGCGATTATTTTCGGCACAAAATTTCTGACTATCAAAGACTGTCAAATACAGCCATCGAAACAAATGAATGATAAGATGTTGCCAAGCTATGCCTTAATTAATGTATCACTGTATATAACCATTGGGGACCATTAGAAATTCACTGCTGAAAATATTCGAAGGTACCACGGGCAGACTGTTGTCGCTACGGTGGACAGAACCCAGAAGCTCTTCTGGTGTTTGCGAGAAAATCAACCTTGAGAACATATTGTGTTTTTGCTGTTAGGTCATTACAAAGACCACCGATACATCTGCAATTCGTATCAGCTTTCCACTTTATTCATGATTCTCATAAGACTTCTCAAATAACTGGTGCAGAAAAATGAATTTATTCGATGATTTTTTTAACTGAACCTATCATTCATCACTCACTTTGCTTAGTTTGAGCAGCGTTATGTGTTAATGCAATCAGAAATTCAAATTAATGCCAATTAGGAAATGGAAAAGGAAAGAAAGTGAAGATGAGAATAATCATGTATAATGTAAATATATGTATGTTGTATGATTCATTAACTGTGATGTCTATCGAGTGGTCAAGGTTTCTTTACAAAATAATTAGTTGTTATTAAGCGAGGAAATAG